CACACACACACACACACACACACCAGGAAAAGAAAATTGTGCACTGAGTCAACTCACTCACGCGCGCATTCTTTCGACGCGCAGGGTAGAAATCCGTGTTGGGAACAAGAGCCCCGGAGGTAAGGGCGGTTTAAAAAGACAACAAGACTATCGGAAGAAAATAAAAGGAAAAAAAACATTCGCAAGCATCGGTGGTTTTAACCGCCCAGTTGACCGCCCAACGTTTGGACCACTGTTGTTCCATTCATTACGGCGGCCGATGCTCCCTTCGTTCGATTGGGCACGTCCTCCTGTGGCACTGCAAGTCTCTATTTCTTCACACTCCCAAACCATTACGCACCCATATTGCCAGTCTCTGTTTCCACTTTCAACATTACCAAGTTATTAGGGGTCCATGTGGGGCCATTGTGTTAGCAATAGTGCTATAGTGGGACGCTGGGCCCGGTTCCCAGCGTGTGCTGCTCCCCACGAATAAGACCGGAGCCATCCATTTCCGGGGACCCTACTACAAGGATGGGCCTCTTTTTTCTTTTTTGTCTTTTGAAACATAGGTGGATGCTCCCCAACCTATGTTTCAAAAGACAAAAAAGGAAAAAGAAGCAATGGTAGCCACAGCAGGTTTTGAATCGGCAAAGGCAAAAAACACACGCTCTGGCAAAGATATCACGGCGTGAAAAGAATCCGTTGGGCTTTTTTTTTTTTCCCCTTTACCCGTCTGACACCAAGGTCGACCCCTGTAATTATGACACCCGGCCTAACATCACACCACAGCCGTTGGTACTTTCATTGCTTTTTCGAACTGGGCGCCTGTTTTCTTTGCCGGTGGGCCAATGTGGCACAATTGCAGTTGGCTCGCCACACCACTGTCGAAAGGCAAAATTTTGTTGTTTGGATTGTGAAGCTTTGAGGGGCGTGAAGGCATGTTTTTTTTTTGGGGGGGTCATGTTCAGGGTTGCGGATAAGTCAGGGCAGCGGTGTGCGTTTTGGCCATTTCTGTCCCTAGACCTAATTCCCTTCGCCTGCGATACAATGCTACTGTTCCCTCCGGGTTGTTTGTTGAGGATTCCCGGCCTCAGTGCTATTTCAAGCTTATAATATGAAGCCCTGAGGGGTCCTTTTTTTAATTTAAAAAAGAAAGGCAAAATTTGTTTCGTGGAAAGTCCTTCAAGGAACTCATCGTGAGGAGCCGAATCTGGAGAGTGTACCTTGAGTCTGGGCGGACAAAACTCCACAAAACCCTATGGAGTCTGGACGCCGTCTTGTAGTTCTATCACTGCGTGTGAACTCACGAATTTGAGAGGTGTACAGCAGACAGTAAGGGGCACGCCACGCCCACTCACCAAATTTCGAGGAGAAGTCAATGGCGCATATTGTGTTTCAGACAGTGCTGTGGCGAGCCCCATACAGTCCGTGGATGGAGATTGAGGGCCTAGTTGCACTACTCTCCATCCGCCAGAGTGAAAAAAATGAGAATCGTGTCGAACTGGAGGCCTGGTTGCACTTAGAAACTATCGAAAACCGTGTTCGAGAAGAATTCTCTGACAACTTGCGCATTTTCTTCCCGTCTCCAATTTCGACAGGCTGTGTGGCCGGCCAAGAGAAACTATCGAAAATCAAGTTTTCGACAGTGGTGTGGCGAGCCCCTTACTGTCTGCGGCTGTGTGGCCGACCAAGAGAAGCTATTGAAAATCGTGTTTTCAACAGTGATGTGGCGAGCCCCTTACCGTCCGCTGTACACCTCTCAAAGTTATGAGTTCACTAGCAGACGCAGTGATAGAACTACAAGACAGGGCGTCCATAGGGTTTTGTCCGCCCAGACTCAAGGTACACTCTCCAGATTCGGGTCCTCATGGTGAGTTCCTTGAAGGACCTTCGCGAAACAGATTTTGCAGGCTGGGAGCGGTACATCAACGGACAGTCGATTTTCCATTCCAGGGGGTTTCTGACCGCTGTCCAAGCCATTTCGCACATGTACAGCAGACAGTAAGTGGAGCGATGTCCGACTGCCCATTTTTGTATAGCGGACAGTAGTGAAGCGAGGCCCTAAGCCACACAGCACTGTAGAATGGACACACTTGTGAATGCAAGATGGAAAAAGACGCACCGGAGGAGGGTACGACAATCATTAGTCCATCCCGACCCAGGGCCACTCGCCAAATTCCGAGGAGAAGTCGATGGCGCAGCTGCTGAGGACTGTCAAAATCATCGGAGTAGCAGGCTGGGTGGGGACTCAACAACTATTGACAGGAGGTGTCGAGAAACATTCGGTCTCGCTCAACTACTCTGCACTCTACGAATTCGGACAGTTTTTCATGGCTGCACTATAACTATCCTATTCCGCCATCCAAAAACCCTCGGATAGCCATCACAAACCGCCTTTGAAAAGAACTCTCCGCTGGTGGAGAGTGCCCAGCCTGCAATGCTGGTTTTT